ATTAAAAAATAAAAAAAATCACTAATCTACAGTTTTTTCCCACACAAACATCCTGTAATTCTATGAAAATTAATATTGATAAAACTGCAATAATTAGTTTTTAATTTTGAAAATATATGTTTCTTTCAGTAATTATTATCCGATGATTACCCTGGCGTTTGTCAAATAAACACTTTTGAAATTGGGTGTTATTTTTGAATCTTGTCAGATCAGCTAAAATCAGTAGTAATTCGACCGGTTTAACAAGATCTGTAATTTAATAGTTTTGTTGTTGTGTCATCACTCGAATTTAAACCCGTATGCGTGTATATGTACTATTAATGTTTGAGAGTTTAGATGTTTTTTTTAGAGTTTATATGTATGTATAGATATTTTAACAATTCGTACAAAAAAACCAGAAGCTGTCCTTTTACACGTGAAGTTGTGACTACACAACTCACCTATTTATGCAAAGGTCTTCACGACCAAATCATTACATGTGTATGTGTAAATACATGCATATATGTAAGGGTCTTCAAGTGTGCGTTTGACCATGATGCATTACAAAAATGTTGTTCGATGTTTCATGTAGTATTTTGTGGTTTTTTTTCTTTGGTAAAAAAGTATAGTATTTTGTGGTTACATCCACTTGCCCCTATTTGTATCCGATGATAGGAAATAATGTCGGACTCTTGTGCACCACAGGTATCCGCCACAAGAGTAGCCTAACAATCTCATTAATTTAGGTATCAACAAATTCTCCACTAAACTTTTGTTATAATTTGTAAATGGAAAGGGTGTCAAGAGTTCAAACTTATTTTTCGGACACACAACTTTTATATGAGTTTTTGTTATTGTTTTTTTGGGTATCAGACTAATTTACTATCATGTATCAAAGTTTATAACCAATTTTTGTAACAAATATAGCTCTGAACTTACATATCTTCATTGCGTAGAGAATCAATATAACGTGGGCCGCATATAGCATCATGAAATGTGAACGTATAACATCCTCCAGCCCCACTATGCAGGGTTCCTATAATTATATGAAAATTTAATACGAGTATGACTATAATTACACGCTCCTACCTGACATCCATTATATATCATGTTAATTACAAACAAAACCAACCGGTTATGAATAATACTAGGCTCTAGTCTTACTATCTCAATCACTTAAGAACATGTTTTCTTTGAAAATACTTACCAGAATTTGGATTAAATTACCGCATAATAATTTCCTATAACATATATCTATAAAAATGGATGTATATTACCAAAAATGCCAATTTGTACTAGTTTCTAGCTATGCATAAACTTAAACAATCCAACCAAAATATGCTGATTTGTACGAGTGTCATCGCTTTGTCACCATCCATATACAAATCCGGTGGAATCATGTTATTGACAAAATACTCAATAGAATTTACAAAAATAAATCTCGTTAACTCACACTTAAAGAAACCTGCAATTTGTTTTGCCGGTTTAACGTTTTAATTTTTTTCGGGTATGTCTTCTCTATTAAAGCAATAACATATATAACAACAACAAAAATTTTGGTGTAAATGTTAAATTTTATATCAAGATTTTCAATTTTGACAGAAGTTACAAACAAAACTATATAGCATGAGATTGTTTGACCGTGCTACACATTATGGTGTAATTCACAACTGTACCAGTAATAAAGGGTAAGGGTAAATGTGATACCATGTGTAAAAAGTTTATTAACTACACTCTAGTTGCAAGCACAATATGTCAATGTGGTACACGTAAAAATCAGTCTAAACCTAATATACTTTAAAAAAACAAAGAGAATACATGTTTCACGATAAATCTGATTTAAAAGTGAGTTTAAGAGTAATAAAATAATAAACAAGCACAGTAAACTCAAATTCAGTCAACATCTTAAACAAATAACAAGATTCAATCAAAGTTTAAATGTTAGATTCATGGGATCAGACAATTGATTAAAAATGATAGGTTTCTAACTTAGGATGCTAAACCCAAATAACTAACATACTTCTTCAACCTAGAAACAAAAAACATGAGTTAATTCACTTCCATGACAATAACTCCTAAACTAATAATGTTCTTAACATCAACTTCCACTAGTTAATTACACTCAAGCAAAGATTGAGAACAAGTCCTAATAATTATAATACTTTCTTAACATCAATCTCCATTAACCAAGCAAGTAAAACACAAATCTCAAACATTTCATCAAACACCTTCCCTACATAAATTACCTATGATTAATACTATGATTAACTAAGTCAAATCTAGCAATAAACACAATAAACAATCTCATATGTAATAAACAATGTTAATCTAACACAAAGCATTCTTAAGCATCCATCTATTATCCTAATCTTATATAATCCATAAATCTAATAAGTGCTACTCACTAATCTCCATGAAAAAACTAAAACACATGTTAAGTTAAGAATAAACATGATATATAGATATACAATCACAACAAACACAAGATTTTACATAGAAAATGCTTAAAGATCTAAACTTAAAAGTTTACAATGTCTTTTTGAGAAAAAATGAGATAAATATTAATATTTTAAGTCTAAAACTATTTATAGTAGTTTAAATTTTGAATCGGTCGATATCCAACAACTTTAGATCAACCTAAAAAGAAATAGGTAAAAGATGCTCAGGCTTTCAACTGCTGACTAGTGTCACCCGCGGTGGTCTTCTGCCGTATGTCCCTTATCATTCTTTTGGTGGTCCTATCTCTCGACCGCAGTTTGGTTTGTAATGTCTACAGTCCACCATTTTTCTTTGGTCACCATGTCTCTCGACCGCGGACGAACTCAGTCTGTGATGAGCGTCCGTGGTTCCCCCTTCTTCTTTGGTCACCCTCTTTTACCGCAGACGAGTTTGGTTTGTGGTAGTGATCCGCGGTGGTCACTTCGCTTTGTTTTGTTTATGTTTATATGCTCAAATACCTCCAAGAATCAAGTAGGGTATCTCCATACCTAAGATGCCACAAATGCAAGACTATGTGACACTAACATGAGGAAATGCAATCCTCAAAAAATGATGATCAAGAAAACACTACACATCATGATATGTACGAGTAACTTCGTAAACTTATTAACCAACATCCCAACAATTCCTTATATTAAATATCATGTTCAAGTATATAAAAGTATTATTAAATAATCGGTAGCTAAGTCGACCGTAATTTTATTATAAGAACTTAGAGGAAGTTTGCTAGATAAATTAAGGATTGCTCAGCATTCCTCAGCATACTTCGTATAGTCCATAGTGTAATATAAAACGGTGACGTGGGATGAGGTATGGCTTATGGAAGCAAATATGGAATATAATGTAAATTTGTTTGCTTGTATATGGAAGTGCTTGCACATGTGTGGGTGTGATAAAATATAGAATATTGTATATATACAAACACATCTAAGCATAAGGAATAAGTAAGCATCAGTTTGTGGTCACACGCATGGGTTGTCTCTGGTCCCTTTGCGTTTCACTTTTCACATTTGTGGCCATTTGTAGCCTTCTTGTGTCACCCCTTCACTTATATATTTTATACAACATAAAATGAGTGTGTTAGCACTTTCTTAATATTAAAAGGTTTTCAAAGTGACTATAAATTCTTTAATAGAAAAAAGTTTGGTTACGATTTGTGAACATTATCCCGCGTGGTGGGTGCACTTTTAGGGCTTTGATCATCATGACGCCTTGCTTACTCCATTCATTGCGTCGTATGTCTTAAAAACACGTTATACGTCTCAGATCTTATAACATCTTCTGAGTACTAATATATCTATATATATATATATATATAAATTTTTTTGAGTACTAATATATTGCTAACTAAAAGAAAAAAAAAACTTTTTAACAAATAAGTGAGCTCGTACTGCATACATACAATTTAATCTATAACATAGTCAGAGCTTTCGACTATATTCATAGTTTATAGATATGCAATTCAGACCAAATACTGTTACTCGCATGTCGCATTTTGCAAGACGCTTTTGTAATTTGGCTGGTATGTTGTCTATTGTCTTTCTAAAAGAATAATTTGGAAATCAAATATTATTTAAAGTAAGTTGGTTTTAATCCGGACTAGTTTCATTTAGGTCAGAAAATTTAACTTTTTACATTTTCGGTATGAAGAAAATAACTGCTAAACTAAAACGTCTAATCTTTAGTATATGGATCGGTATGGTATGATTATGGATTAGGATAGATAGTGGGTCAAAACATGGTTTCCTATTTAAGTTTTAGTTTAGTTTGTTTTTTCAGATAATAATCTTTTATAGGTGACCGGATCAACTTGTTCATCTGCAATAAAAGTTTCTAAATTTCAAATATTTGTAGGAGTTTATTATCCTTAAAAAATCACCTGTTTATAAGGCTTTAGTTGGCCTTAGTGTCACTTGTGGATTTGTAATAGATAAAACAACCATAGACAGTTTGGGCCAATAAATCCTTTGGGGCAAGTTAGCCATTATTGGGCTGGCATGTTTACTCGTGGTAAACAAAATAGAGTATATATATCATGTTTATCTTTATAAGATAAAGAATATCTTGATCTCAGAGTACAAAAACTTGTACAGTTACAGACGTATTAGAGTATATCTTATGTTTATCTTTATAAAATAATCTAGGATCTTTTATTTAGTATATATTTATTTTCAGTGTAAAATTTAACGCACATTCCAAACTTATATAATTTTCTCATTAATCATTTCTAAAATAAGTTAGAAATGCAGGAGTCACTCAATTCTTGCAAAAACCATTTAACTTGAAGCGTGATTTTATTTAATTACTGTGTTTCCTTTTTTTGTTGACATCAAACTTTATTGAGTATTTGCATCCCATATACAAACTAAACCCCTAAATTAACTATCTAACCTTTTTTTCTCTTATCTCTTCTCCCCTCCTCTCACTATTTTTCCCCTAAAACCATGACATATTGCTAATATCCAAATTCTTTATGGATTAGAGGCCAATTCACCCAACTTTATTTACTGTGTTCTCTATTTTTATTTACTGTGTTCTCTATTTTTATTTTACAGCATTGTATTTCAAGTACGAAATTATACAAACGCCAAAAACATTATTTTTATTCCTATTTTCGGTAACAGTGAACCGCCACTCAGTATCGTACTTCCAAGAAGAAAAAGAAAAACACAAAAAAAAAAAAAAAGAATCTTCGAGCGAGTCGAAAACAGAATATTCCCCGGTGAAGAATAATCACGACGACGCGCCGCAACCGCGACGAGAGAAACCCAGCCGCGCTCTATCTCTATCGAACTCAAACAAGAACCCTTGCTGCATCAAATTCCCGATCACCGAGAATCCAACCTTCGGATCCACCGCTTGAATCGCCAGACACTGTATACGCTCCTCCGTCTCGATAAAATAATTCCTCGGCGGCGGAACCATCATCGCACCGCCGGCGAATCCGAATCTCAGCCTCGGCATCATCTTTTCCGGTCTCGAAACGCCGGAGACGTTGACGCACAGATCGAATCCCGGAGTCAGCTCCGCCGCGATAGGGAGCCTGATCCGTCGTCTCATGGCAGCGACGACGGATCGATACGCCGGATCGGCTAAAAACGCGAGGGTTGTACCGGAATCCACGACGGTTCCGCCGTTACCTGAACCGTCGATCTCCCAAACGGAGGGATCGATTCGTAATTTCGCACCGTTGACGGAAATAGATTTTAATCTAACGTAGTAAAACGTCGGAGATAACGGATTCGTTAGTAACGGAGTGAAGGATAGCTTCGAAACGGCGTCGTCGGATTTAACTCCTCCTATGGTGAGGTAACTCGTCGGGGGAGGAGAGAGAGTGTAATCCATTAAGCAATACGAAAACTTGTTACCGAAACGACGGCCCAATTGTGAGGCAAAAGAAATAGGCCCACGGCCCAAGCCCATAACGCCATGCGCTCCGTTAAAACTCGCACCCGATACGCTTTGACCCGAGATTTTAAACCCGCAACCAAAAGCAACACTCTTTAGATTCGCTTCTCTACCTGAACTCGTCCTCAACGTCGTCGTTTCCCTAGCGAATAAACCGGAAGTTAATGAACCGTCCGCGTAAGCGTACTCGTAAGGACACGTGGAATGTATCCGGGTATGGTTACATTTCGGAGCCGGGCTCGGTTTAGGTACGAGTCGACAAGTCGGGTCGTAGCAATGAGTGGGAGAGAATGTGGAGGAGTGGCGAGGGAAGAAGACGGTGGCCGGAGAATGGTGAGAGCAGTTTCGACAAGCGGAGCATTTCACCCAAACGAGGTCGCTTCCGGTGTCGGCGATCAGGAGTAGCGACTGAGGCGGTTGGCCGATTCGGAGATCCACGAAGTATTGACCCGACCCGGAAGAAGCTCCGGAGACTACCGGGGACTTGACGAATGGGATGGGCTTGCGGTGGAGAGATAGAAAATGGAGACGGCGAGTGTCTAAAGCCAGAGATTGTGTCGGAGAAGGTAAGGGAGATTTGCGTAGTAGAGGAAGCTTCAGGTATTCGTCGTCGTCACTCACGGCGGCGAGGCTCGCCGGTGGGAGGAGGAGTAGAGAGAGAAAGATGAGAGGTAACATTGAGAGAGGGAGAGAGAGGAAGGGTGTGTTCGTGGGTTGTCTGTGTGTTTTGAAAGAGATGAAGAAGAAAGAGGTATAATGTATGGGTTTTGTCAGTTTGTGGTCGAAATGTTAGGACAGTGTAACGTGAAGACTGAAATATTTCTGCATTGGGAGGCATCAAAAGAAGGCTTTGGCTTAGCTGTCTAAATGTGTGTTTGTTTTTGTCTCTTTGTTCCTTTCTTCAACTCCAAACATCAAAAGCAAATATTTCATCTAAATAGTTGACGACTGTGAAAATCTCTTAATATTATTTTTTCTCTGTTTTTAGACTTTTTAAATATTAAGTTCAATGATATTTTAAAAATCATCAATTTAAAATAATTTAATATAGAAAATTGCAGAATGTAAATAGGTATATAACATAAAAGTTAATAGTTAGTAATTAAATTGTGTAAATAATAACTACAGATGTTTGCGTTCAGAAAATAAAAATAAATATTTTGTGTCGAATATTAAATAACAAAAATGGAGGAAGATTGATTTTGTCCTTTTTTGAATTTATAATAATTGAGTGTTTTCTATTTCTTGTGATTGTAATCTTAGATCCGTGAATTTATTTCTTTTTATTATAGAGGGTCGGATGATATGAATGATTATTATGACAATAATTAATAATCATACTATACAATAGTAATATATGTCTGTAGATCTTGTTTGGACGTGAAAAAAATGGACCTTGTTTGTTAGGTGGTGGCAGAAGTACTTAATTTCAAAGAATATAAACATGATAATATTTCTTTATATGATTACATAACAACAAAACATTGTTACTATTACTCGTTATATACTGAAAATCCATTTTTGTTAGTTTTTGTTCGTTACTAAGCATGGAACCCAACTTTACCAATATCTTGTGATGGATTTAAATAAAATTTAATAAATAATTGTAAAACATCAAACAGGAAGAAGATTCGGGAGATAATGTTTGCATGGCTGCACATGGTATGAAACATGTGACTTTTATGACAAACCACAATTATTTTATCTTTTGGCAGTAGTTTGGGAGATCACAAATTTATCGCGAGTTTATTGTTTTTTTTTGTAACAATGTGAGTTTATTGTTTAAAAACTAAGAAAAATGTTGACAAAAAAAAACTAAGAAAAATGTTTGAGAAGAAGAACTAAGAAAAATAACTTATAAAAAATCTTAAAGAAGGTTTTTGTAGATTTTTACAACAATCTATAACTTTCACTGTACTATAAATGATATTTCAATTTGACAAGTATGTGGTACAATGATACAGAGAGACAAAGAAGAAAAATGTAAATAATAAACTCAGTTTACAGATTCTTCATTGTTATTAGTATTGTCTCCTCCAGATTCAGTTTTGGCTCTGCTTCTAAGCTCTTCAAATGCTTTCATGCTTTCTGCATCAAACCCTCCAGCAAACTGCACACACACATCATAGAACAAACATGTTCAGTTTATATATCCAAACCATTGAGACATATATATATATATTCACTGGATTCATAAGTTCTTGATTGATACTAGTGTCTCTTTTGTTTACCTGATGGACTCTAAAAGCGAAACGAACACCTTGGAGAAGCAAGAACTCTCTGTTAGGGTCCTTATCAGATCCACTAACTGAATCAAGCTCATAAGCTACTCGTTTCATGTACTTCCTCGCGAGCTGAACTGAGGAAAGCTTGATCTGCATGACGGTAGAAACAAAACATTTTCAAGACTCTTTAACATAACTAATGCCAACAGAAGATACATAAAGAACAAACTAAACACCTTTCCCACAACGCCAGAATCAGACAACCAATCAACTGGAATGCCAAACTCTTTGTAACGTGAAACCGCCATGTCTCTTGTACGTAGAAGAGCGTATACACTTTGCTCAACCCTGTGAAAAAAGAAGCAGAAACCAAACGTTTAGTAAGTCAAGATTTGGTATGATTTGATACTCTTTCATTGTCTTTGAGGTTGATAATAACTTACTTCTCTAGCAACTTATACATCTTCTTCAAAGCAGGTTCACAAGGGAGATTCGGATCATCCACAAAGGAAGTCACTTGCTTCTCAAGTTTCATGAGATCTTGATACTCAAAAGCTGCTTCTCGTAATGCGTCAGCTTTGCCTTCTGGCCAATCAAAGTGTTTAAGAACTGCTCTCTCATCAACCAAGAAGGAGAGCTCTTCATCTAGCCAGCTAACGAAAGCCAAGAGATCTTCAATGTCTGTGAAAGAAGCAGCTCTTACTTCAGTTGCTAACGACTGAACAAAGTCACCTTGTGTCTCCACATCTGCTTTCACCTGTAATCAAAGTTTTAACACTTACTTTCATCAACGTTATATTTGAATCTATCAAGTAAAACAAAGTGTGTCAACTTACTGCTAAGAGGAATGTTGATCGATTCTCTATTTCTCCAATCATATTACTCCTAGCTTCAGATGAGTTACCAGTTCCTGAAGAGACCAAAGAAGGTGAACCATCTTTCTTCGCTTCACGTTTCATCAATGATTGATAAAACTCAACAAGCTCAGGAGCTCGGTGAACTTTGCTCCCACTTCCAGCTCCTCTTCCAAGTGCTCCAGGAGGAGGAGGTGGTGGCGGAGGCCCACCTCCACCACCAGGTGGAGGAGGAGGAGGTGGTGGACCACCACCAGGCAAAGGAGGTCTTGGAGAAGGCACATTAGTACTTTTACCAGCTCCAGCTGATCTTGGAGGTGGGCGAGGCACTCTAGGAGGTCGTTTCTCAATATCTACAAGCTTTATTTTAGCTACAGCTTGCGCGTTTTCGCTAGCTTTAACATCGTTACCATCACTAGACTGATCACTAGTAGTGACGGTCCTGGTCATGGAAGGAATTGAAACTGGTTTCTCCTTGAGTTGAGCAAGTTTAGGAGGCAAAGCCACATTACCTCCAAACCTCTCTGCTCTCGCTTGATCAGCCTTATGCTTAATATGCTTCTCTCTCTCAACCGCAAGCTTATGCCTGTCTTTATACGCAGGATACTTCTCGTCCAAAACATTATCAACAGATTTAGACATCACTTGAAACGATGCTGCAACGTTATTCAAAGGCTCACCAGGAGAAGGAGGTGGTTGTTGTGTTCTGATCCTTGCAAGATTCGGAGTTTCAGGTGTACCAGGACTATCTTGATCCACTTTACCAAAAGTAGTTATAGCTACCGATTCACCAGCGTTTCTAATCATCAAAGACTCCAAAGGACCTCTCTGTTTATTCATACTCACGCTCAATCTTCCAGGTGATCCACCATAGAATGATCTTGAAGGAGATGACTGAACGCTGGAATCATCTTTGCTTTTACCACCCCATCTCTTAAGCTTCTGAATCAAACCTGGTTTCTTGCTTAAACTACTAAACCTACTCGTTGAACTATCCATTGAAGCGTTGTCGAAATCATCGCTTCCAGGAGATGAAGGTTGAGAGAAGTTGCTCTCTACATCTGTATCTCCTTGGCCACGTTCTGAGCCAGCGTACTCTAGCATCAACCGTTTAGCTTTGGCTTGGGACTTGGGGGATAGGTTCTTGCTTAAGTCACGTGCAGAGATTTTGCCAGCTGGTGTTTGGTAGTTTCTTAACTCGTAACGTAAACATGCATTGACCCAACGGAGATAAACCAGTTCCTCAACTTCACTAAACCTGTTCATTTGAAGCCCTTCCACTTGCTTTAACAGATCCTCATTGTTATGCTTCAAGTTGTTAACCTCTTCTCTCACTTTCGCCACTTTATCACTCTACAAAAAGAGACAGAAAACAAACTTTGATGCAAGAGGATTCTACACTCGATGTTCAAAAAATCCTAGGTGGTAAATAGGCGCTGTATAGATGAATAGTGTTAACAAATTATTGATTTATTTTATATATATTTTATATTTATAAAAGATATTTTAGTTTTTAGCTTTAATTAAAAGGTATTGTTTTACAAAACAAAATAAATTACATAAATTTGTACTAACATTATTGTTTAATTTAACAGATTAGACTAATTTAGATCGATTTAAACCGATTTACAATAATTTAAACCGATTTGAATCATATAAATAGGATTTTTAGAAAACTGTTTTGAATAGGATCTGGTTGCAGCCTAGACCGATTTTTAGAACCATGATTACACTTACCTCAGTCATGTTTGAAAGAGCTGAGATTCTAGCCTCTGCTGAGTCCAGTTTAATGGTTAACTCCCTCTTCTCATGTTGAAGCTCTCTGTTCTTCCTCTTAAGCTCCATAACTTCCACTTCCATGTCCTGCACAGCTTTTAGCTTCCTCTCAACTTCACTGTCTTTATTCATAGCTTCTTCTTCTTTCATCTGAAGACTAGACACATGCTGCTTAAGCAAAAGCAACTGTCCTTTCGTCTGGTTAGCATCGAGCTGGATTTGTCTCTGCAACTCCTTGATCTTGCCTCTCGCAGCTTCAAGCTCCTTCCTCACAACAACGTTCTGTGAGATCTCTTCTTGGAGCTTCTTCCTCTCGGCTTGGAGAGAGTTTATAGTGATGTTAAGCATATCTATCTCAACGGTCTTGATCTTGAGCTGTCTTTGTAACTCAACTACATCAGATTCTTGCTCTTTGAGTCCGTAGTACTCAAGCAGCTCTCCTTCTAGCTTCACTTCTCTTTCTTCAAGCTCTTTGACTAAGTCTCTCAGCCTCTCTAGCTCGCTGTCGTTATACGCCATCTCGCTCTCGTACTTCCTCTCTTTCTCTGCTTTCTCCAAGTTGTTGTCATCGCTAGGCAGTGGATACTCAATCTCACCAGATAAAAGACCTTCAAGCTCATCGTCTAAATAGTCTGAGAAACTTCCACGAGATTGATTGATCACACTGTTGATTAGTTTCACCTCTTCTTCTTCCTCCTCTTCCACCTGAATACATCATCTATCAAAAACATGACAACAGCAAGAAACAAACAAAAGAAAGAACTGTTGGTTAAATACACTTACACTCTTAGACACGGCTTGTTCTTTGTCACCTCCTTTGCCATTTTCTTAAGAGTAAACCAACACAAAGTCAGAATCTATAAAATGCAATCAAATGGAGAATCTAATGTGCTTGTTGTACCTGATGGTTTGCTAGGTTTGGAGGGTTTACGGTTGAGCTGCTTAACAGCAACTGCTGCAACAGAAGCAGCAACAACAAACCCTACCCGCACAATCATATATTAACACCTTGAATTGTGAATAAACTCCCTTCTCCAACTCATTTACAGATTTCCTCCAAAGATTCACTAACTTAATCCATAGTTCCTTAAAGATTCATCACAGTTCTTGAACCTTGTAACATATTTGTTCCAGTAAGAGAAAGTCTCCAAGATACTGACAAAACTTTAAACAACTATGTCCACCCAAAGAAAAAGAAAGACACTTATCATCAAGAAAATAATTCGATCTTATCAGCTTTATGGACCTCTCATGCATCAAAAAAGCCAAAATCTTCAATAAATAAATAGTGGCTGTTATTTAGCACAAGACAGATGAGGAAATAGACATGTTTGGTTAATAGATGGACTCTTAAAAAGCAATGACCAAGAAGCAAAAGTACATATGTGAATCTAAGAAGCCGTTAAAAAAACACACTCAATAATTGCCTGAATTTGTCTCTTGTGTGTCAAACCTTTTTACCAAACTAGACGGTGAACTAAACACAAAGGATGATTAAGGATAAGACTGTTTCAAAAAAAAAAAAAAAAAAAGATTTAAGGATAAGACATTTCATTATTCATTAAGACCAATCTACTCAATATAAAGATTTGGTTATCTCAAATTGGTCTACCAAAAAAATGTTTTCTTAGATTATGTTGTGAATCTATGGGACCAGTGCCAAGTAGAGGTGTGTTGCTAAGCTACGTAGCACTAACCAATCACAAGAAAACAGAGAGGTTTCTGACCTTTATTATCTTAAAACCCCATTTTCTTCTCAGCCATAGATTTTTTCACATGTTTTTTGCCCTTTTAGCCTTATCTAAGTGGAAACAAATCCCCTTTCTCTGTGTGACTGAGAAGATATAATAGAAGAAAGATTCTTACATGATATGGTGTGGAAACTCATATTAGATTCTGATTCTTTTTTAACCAATCTGCACAAAACAGTTAAAAAGATTAGTATGAAGATGAAACTATTTGATTCAGACATGTGCCAGTGAGGATTAGGACAAGTGGAGAGAATGAAATTTTATCCATTCAGACATAACCAAATATCAGTTCTATTGTATGGCAGAGGAATTTTCTGGTGTCAACAGCTCACCAAAGACAAGAACAGCTTTAATTGTTTCTTGTCTAGTGAAAAAAATTGGAATTCATCAAAGATTAAAAAAAAAAACAGAAGACGTAACTCTAAATATGACCCAGTACTCATCTGACTGTAACTATGAAAGTCAAACCTTATAATAAACTGATGTCTATAAGAGGAAGAAGCGGAATCAATCAGACAAACCTCAAAAAAGATTCGATTTTTAAGCAAACCCAGTTCGTGAAATGGAAAATGAGAATCTTTAAGAAGCTTACCAGGTTTCAGATTAGGGAAGAAGAATAGATCTGTCCAACTTTCTTCTTGGTTGCTAATAGTTGACAATGTCGTGAAGATACCATTCCCTTCCGTTTAACGGTTTATAACGTTTTGTAAATCGCTCTTCAAATTTTGAAATTTCAGAGACATTGTGAGTGGGAATAGTATCAAAATGATTTTATTCTGTAGTAACTATTCTCACTTTGTTACCCTTTTGAAACCAAAGATTACAATTTTAAAATCAGGACTGAGTTACATGTCTTTCCCCAAATAAACCTAAGTCTATGTATTTGGTTGACTTCAGATTTTTCAACACTCATATAATAACAAATTTTCTCTTTTTTGTACAAATCTGAAGATGGTTCAAGAATGGTCATTCCATTTCCATCTTCCCGCCTCTTCAAGAACGTTAGCTCTTGCTTGGCTTTCTTTAGCTTTATCCTCTAACACAAGTTCTGCATTTTCATTCATCTCTTAAGATCAAAACTTTAAAATATGGTCTATTGAGTTTATTACTAATCATTTTTACCTGAGAATTTGAAGTACTTCAACTTCAGCTTCAAGAATACATCTTTTATCAAGCAGTGATTCAAACTCACTTACTACCATCTCTTGTAACTAGCCATGTTCAACCATATAAACAGATTTATCCGTTGTTAGCCTCTGAGGCATTTCATCTATATCTTCTCTGAAGCTACTAAGCAACTGTTTCTGACAATCTATGGCTGCTTTCTCTTTTAAACTCTCTGCAAACCACTTCAGCTGAGCAGTTTTTCTTCTTCTTCTTCTAGTTCATTAACTCTGGAGAGATACAATTCTTTCAACTCAACTCCTTGATCTCTCTCTACTTAAAGCTTCTCATCCCAAAATTACTTTATCTCTTCTTTCTCAACCAACTTTGATCTGATTTCTTCCATTTTAGCTTTTTGCAAGAGTGACTCTGCTGAAACTGCTTGCGCCATTTTACTGCTTGTTAACGCTACAGCTGCTTGTGCTTTTGTAATAGCTCTATACGGCTGAAACCGCTTGATTCTACATGTAGAATCAAACTTTTGAATAATGGCAACAACATTCAGGTATTCTGGCAACAACATCCCAAAACCGCTACTTTCGCTGTAACTAGAAGTAGAAGAATACCAAAAACGTTTCCTGTCAGAAAGTCCAAGAAGAATCCAAGGGCTATATCTGGATTGATGCTCATCGTGTCTATATAATCTACCTTTGTCCTTGATATCAGCCATCAGGACTGTATTCAAGTGAGGCTTTTAAAGTATCTGATAAAGCAATCACCGTTATGCACAGAATGTTAAAACTTTATCACACCTCTTCCATAGTTTCTGGATGGAAATCACACTCCAACTGAGCTTTCCAGTTTACCAAATCAAGCCGGGTAACAAAACTGCAGCAAACCATACATGCTGAAACAATTAGACATCAATGAACCAAAGATACAAATACAATAGCACATGAAGTAAGCTATATCCTCTTTTTACCGCTCAGGATAAAAATTAATGTTGGTATCTTCCTCCGATAACTTGCTGAAAGCTATGCCTGCCTCTGCCAAGGCTGAAATGAAAATTACTTGATTTAAGGTAAAATTCAATAGAAAACAAACTAAGAAGTGGTAACAAACTACTTAAACATGTATGTACTGTACGTCAAGGTCTGTAGTATTCACATCTTCAAATGTAGGAAACGAAGAGCCAGCTAATGCTACTGCTGGCAAAATCCTGTGCTTTGGATTTCTAAAGGCAAGAAGAAGAAAAACAAAACATAGTACATTTTAATCAGTCGTTGTTCACCACAAACACAAACAGCATCACTACCTCTCTAATAACATGTTTGAACAAACAAGCCATCTAGCATACTCTCTGTCTAGTACACAAATCATCAACCAGTACTTCTTCCTCAATAATCTGAACAACTTAAAATGAAAGCTACATGTTCATTATCAGAGCTGGACAGCTAAGGCTCAACTCATATAGAATATGACAAGTTTGGTATTATATGAGAGTAAGTAAGTTTATCGAAAAACAAACCTTAAGTTTCTTCAAAACCGCTACTGCTTCTTGTTGAGCAGCATCCACGGAAACCGGAGTGGTAAACACGGTGAGCATTTTACGGTTGATGCTAAAGTAAACAATCAGAAAACAAAAATCAAGACTAGCTAAAGCACAAAACAGAGTAAAGATCAAAATCAATTGCAACACGAAACTGGAAAGGAGCCCCATTATGAGGAAAGACACTAACTTTGTTTACTTCTCCACTGAGGAAGAAGAGGGTCATCTTCAATAAGAGCTCAATCCACCACATTTGTATTTGGAAGTTTGAGAGACACATGTGGGAGGTTGAAACGATGTCGTACAAGTAAAGGAGCCAACTTTGGGAAGACGAATGATGAAGTTGGCGACTTTCTGATTGAAAAAGAGCACATTTCTCGTGTTTCTGCGATGGTGGTGGGTGGGCTACAGAGTCGTTTCCTCTGTTTTTGGTTTGTGTTTATTTTTCGGTATAGCTTTAACCATCTCGGTTTATTAGTTCAAACATGTGGATTAGCGATTTAGAGCATGATTATAGGCATGTCCCTTAAGTGTATCTTAAAGATTTTTAAATTATTATCCTAAAGTTAAGGGACATTACTAAGATACATACAATTATAATCGTTTATAGGTAGTTGCTTAATTAAGGTTCTTAACAATAAAATAATATTAAATTAAATTTCAAACAAATTTTTTTTTTTTAACTAGAATTTATAAATTAAACAAAACAAGTCAAATATAACATTTTAAACATAGATTATAAAAAAAAACATAAAAAAATGAAAATAAAGATAACTAAAATAAACGATAATAATTTGAAAACGCCATCCAAGTTCAGTTGTTGCCTTGATCACGTGCAAATTTACGCCATATATGTTCTACCAAATCACGTTTTAGTCGCTGATGCGCTTGTTTATCACGAATTCTTACTCGAACACCCATCTGATTACCGATATTTGTCGGGGTATCTGTGGAATATGTGAGATCGACATGTGAACTTCTGCTGCCTTCTCCTTGTTGGAAATCCGAAACATCGTACTGAGTTTGTTGATCGCGTTCGTTTTCGACTATCATGTTATGGAGTATGATACATGCTCTCATAATCTTCCCGATCTTGAATTTATCCCAACAACGTGCCGGATTCTTAACAACGGCAAATCGAGCTTGCAAGACTCCGAAAGCACGCTCGACATCTTTTCTGGCCGCTTCTTGACATTGAGCAAATAACGATGCTTTGGGAGTTTGTGGTAGTGAAATAGATTGGATAAAAGTTGCCCATGTCGGATAAATACCGTCGGTGAGATAGTAAGCCATTGAATAGGGATTTCCGTTCACCGTGAAATTCACTTGCGGAGCTTCACCATTTATTATGTCATCAAAAACAGGTGAGCGGTCAAGAATATTGATATCATTTAAGGTACCTGGAGATCCGAAAAACGCATGCCATATCCAGAGATCATATGAAGCAACCGCCTCTAAAACGATTGTGGGCTTTCCTGAACCACGAGTATATTGCCCTCTCCAAGCGGTCGGACAATTCTTCCACTCCCAATGCATACAATCAATGCTTCCTATCATGCCGGGAAATCCACGAAGATCGCCAATATGAAGTAGACGTTGAAGATCATCCGACGTTGGTCTCCTTAAGTACTCATCCCCAAACAAATCTACTATCGCTTCCACAAAATTTTCCACACATAACCGAACCGTGCTTGCACCGAGCCTGAGGTATTCGTCGACCGCATCAAGCGCAGAACCATATGCCAACACACGAATAGCCGCTGTACACTTTTGAATTGTAGAGAGACCAAGTCTTCCGGTAACGTCTGTCGTCTGACGAAAGAATTGAACTTCATTGGAGAGTCGATCAACAATACGCATGAATAATGATTTATTCATTCTAAATCGTCGTCGGAATAGATTTTCTGGATACGTTGGAGTGTCACTGAAATAATCATTCCATAACTGGATATGACCGTCTTCACGATTTCTTTCGATAGGAACTCTTATTTTTCTTGTCTTCTTTTCAACTTCTTGACCACCGTCATCATCGACCACCTCGTCGAATGTTTCATCAAAAATTTGATCAAAAGTTTCATCAAAAAATTGATTGAAAGTTTCATCAATTGAACCATCCAGATTGTGATAAGAAGAGGAAGCCATGAGAAATTTGTTTTAGATTCTTGTTTACAAAAAAAAATTATGATATAGAAACAAAGAGATAACGTGAAATGAAATTTTATGATATGGAAAGAGAGAGATAACGTGAAAGAGAGTGAAATTTGTGTTTGTGCTTCTGAGGAATGGTTTCTGATTTATAAGAAACAAAATAACACTGGTTTATGATTTATAACTAAACAATACACAACAAAACAAAACTACATTTGTGTCTTGTGACACAAGAATCCAACGCAAAGTATGCAACAATGACAGACACAACACAATACTCGTGAGTACACAGAAAAAAAAACAACAATGACAGACACTACATAACACAATACACATCAGCTCAAATCCCATTTCTCGTGAGTACACAGTAGACCTGAAACATCTTCTCAAATCCCAATTCTCGTGAGTACACAGTAGACCTGAAACATCTTCTCCCATTCTCTAACCTGCATTACAATAACAGAAACAGAAACATTTTATCTCATGAGTAAACAGAAACCAGAAATCAATAACAGAAACAATTTATATATGACTTAAACATAAACCAGAAATCAATAACATAAACATTTTATATATGACTTAAAAGCAGAAACAGAAACATTTTATCAGAAACAGAACATGATACATATGACTTAAAAACAGAACATGATACATGACTTGAAAACAGAAACAGACGACCAGGACTTAAACAACAAACATGACTTGAATATGAAACATGAACCGAAACACAAACTTCAGAACAATTCTTTTATCAGCATCTTCTTGAGTTCTGATTCATACTCTTCCAATGGTTCTTTTTTTCCAATGAGACTCTCAAGCAGACTCAGCTTAGTCACTTTCTCTTTTTTGACAATGAGACTGTCAAGCAGACTCAGCTTGGTAAGAGTACTCTCAGCAGATGAGACCGGCTTCTTAGCACTCATTTTTGAGGCCTTCACACCAGGAGGACGGCTGTGGTCAGTTGCTTGTGAGGTCTCTGAACCTCCACCATCCTCACATTTCCTCTTATTGACGTTGCCTTTCTTTTTTCCCGTAGTAAGGTCACACCATTTTTGGTCGTGCCTTAGCTCGTTCCAAGCGTGTTGAAGCTTAAAATCCTTCTTGTAGTTGGTCTCGTAGATCTTGTGAGCGCGGTTAAGAACATCTTTGTCACTCTGGCCGCTTTTTAATTCTCTTGTAGCCGCTTCAAAAGCACCACAAAATTTGGAGACAGAATCATTGATCCTATGCCATCTTTGTTTGCAGTTTTTTGCCTCTCTCTCCACTGAGGCAGCAACCAGAGGACTTGCCGCAAAGTATGCAGCAACCCTACTCCAAAAACCATCAGATTTTTGAAAGTTGCCGACCACTGGATCCTTGCTCGTGTTTAGCCATGAGCTGATCAACACCACATCCTCCGTTTGTGTCCATTTGTGTCGTATCTGAGGCTGTGTAGCTGTGTCTCTCTCAAAGTTTGAAGCTGAAGAAAGGTCAACAGTTTCTTCATACTGTCCGAAAGAAATTGTTTGTTGACTACTAAGTAGTTCAACAAATGAAGACGATGGATTAGAATCCATTAGGGAAGACAATAAGAATGAATTTTGTTTAACAGATTGAGACAGATGGTTTGAATTAAAAGACAATAGGAGATTGTGTTTTTTTTATAGACTGGCGAGAAAGATAAGAGCATTCAACATCGAGTAGACATAAACCTAACACACATCACCATTCATGCCTACCTAACTGTAAATTTATGCCAACCATAATTTTACACTAACCATAAATTTATTACTACACCACCCAACCATAATTATCAATTACTATCTAACCATTACCATAAATTTATTATAACCAGAAAATAACCAATTCAAAAAAGAAAACCAACACTGACAGAGATAGTGTTTACCTTCTCCATTGATGTAAGCGTCTCCAAGTCCCAATTCCACTTGTGTCATAACCTGAGAATCAATAATCAAACACATCCCATTTAAACTTTACAAAACATTAAGAGGAACGAAGCATATGAGATACTTCGATGAACTCCAAAGCAATTTTAAATCATCAATTCACATTCACAAAGAAACAAGGAAATGAAGAGAAACTTCGATGAACTCCAAAGCTATTTTAAATCATGACTTAACTTCTCTCTCAGGCTTGTGAAGACAAGATTTGACTAGGCATCATTTGTCTACGTTCATCTCCATCTCGACCTTTCTCCACCTAAAAACACAAATTACAAACAAATCAACTTCACCTTTGAAAGATTCAAGAAGATAAATCAAACATGCAAACTTGAAAGAATTAAACATATGGAGTAGGAGCTTCAGATTTACCTTTTCGATTCCCCTCAGCCGCAAGGAACATTTTATCCGTCTCAGAGATTCGATCCACCGATAGAGAGCCATCGTCTCAGAGATTCGATCCGTCTCAGAGATTCGATCCACTTTTCCTCAGTTGATGAGAGCCATCGATAAAAAGCTCAACAGTTTCCTTTTGTGGCCGAGACCCACCGATTTTATGAGTGCTCGTCGTTTCGTCCACGACAGCCACCGAGAGTGTTGATAATCGTCTTTCTAATCGCCATCGCCTCTGCTTGAGTCGGCAGAACACAAAGAGAAAATGAAAAAAAAAACACGAAACTTGGTCGAAACCACAACCGCTACTCCCCCCTGTTATTTTGCGACACCTGTCTGGCAAGGGACGAGTTAAATGTTCTCTAATTAAGCCACGCCCCTTCTCTAAATCGACACTCTCTCTCTTTTAATCACCATTTTTCCTTTATTTTAATAATAAAAGTAAGTTAACAACCCTCTTAAGGGCCCTCTATAATCATGCTCTTATAATGCTATTGCCGCCATTGGATCATTTATCATGTAATCTCTCCCACCTCAATACAATAAGATTTGGTGTATTCGATCTGTAGATTTTCT